CAAAAGTAACATAAATTAGCAAATTACATAATAAAATCTTCACAGACAGGATCTGTGATACTTTCTTCTGTTTTATAGAATATTTCACTGGCTAGTTGTAATGAGGTGATGAAAGCACATTTATTTTTCTCTTATTAATTTTACTTTCCTAAATTAACACACTAGGGATTTTTTCCCCCAGTCTAAGATTAGGGTTATCTGATTGTCCCATTTAAAAAGAAAAAGAAAAGCTTAGAGTGCAATGCTGCTGAATGTCAGTCTGACACCCCCTTCCCCTCCTGTGAATACTGCTGATTCAGATTATAACCAAAAAAAAAAACCAGCAAATCAAGCAAAACTTGTAAGCTCTCCCCTAGAATTTCCAGCCTGACTTGGAGTTGTCAGGCATCGAACCTGATATAGAACTTCCAAAGCATCTGATTTACCACAAACCTACAGCCTTTTCCATACTCACATACCAGAAAAACTAACAAAAAACATAGTTATAGACTTGCCATCAAATATCACCTAAAATCTCTTCCCTGCAAAAAACTCTTCGGAGGCAAAGATGGTGTTTGTGGCTAAGGCAAAATGGTTTAGGAAAGGTTCATATATTTGTGCCTGGGATTTAAAGAGAATATTAAGGCAAGTGGTGTTGTATGTGTGGCTCTGACCAATATTTATCATTCAGTTCTGACCAGCTCTCAATATTCCTTTGCAGAATTCCATTGTGGAGACACAAATATCAGAATGTGTACCTAATTAAGACAGACAAGTTAAACAGGCACCCTATGGATTCATCTTTGTCTTTAATAACCCACATATGTCCCTGCCACCTCTTCAGAGTGTACCTCCCCATTTCTACTTGTCACTCCATGAACTACTTTTCTCCAGTAATCAGGATAAAACCCTCTTCCTTCTTTGCATTTTAGTCTCTCTTGATAAACAACTTTTTGTTAGAAACTTGCCAGTAATAATTAAATGTAATGACCAGATATCAAAGGTGAAATGGTATACATCAGCCCCACAGTGATAAAAATTGTAACAGAAATGAAAGCTCTCTAATAATGTAAGAGGAAGAACAGGATAGGGTAAAATATCCAGGCAATGTTTGCAATATTTTGCTTCTTATGTTAAAAAAGAGGTCTTTGCAATGGAAGAAGATTTTTAATGTATTTTTATATTTATGTAAATTATTCTACATAAGATGGGAGAGACTAGTTGATGCTTTTTCTCTTCTGTTAGCAATGAATTAGTAGTCTGGGCAACAAACTCTATAGTTCTTGGATGAATTTACTGCAATGAAGCTTTTTGTATGTTTGTTTATTAAAATGAAAAAAAATGATGGTTCAAGATAAGAAATCAAAGGAATTAGATCAAACATCTCCATTAAATCATTAGATTTAATGATAATTGAAATCTTCCCTGGATGAAAAAGAACAAAATTAATTACTGCTTATGAAAGGGGGAAAAAACTGTTTTTCTGCAAACTTTCTTTCTTGCCATTTTCCTGTTACCAGGAAAGGAAAAATCCGTCCTTTGGCATTTCCAAGTGTGAAAAGTCTGACTGTGAATACACAGCATTCTATGGATGCTTGTCGAAAAGCATTATCTTTTTATAGACAATACTTTTTATAGAGAATACTGAATGCCCAAATTTCATGGATAGATGTGATAACATCCATCTGTTCTTTTGTGCTGTTTTACTTAATTTTATGGGTACCCTACTTAAACACATCCTAGGCTAATTTCAGGAGTCTAGAAACAGCAGCTTTTATTTACTTCGACTTCCAGATGTCTTTTGTAGTTTGATGAGTTTATCAAGCAAGGTCACTAACATCTATCATTTCCAATAACCCTCAGGCTGGGCTAAGCTTTTCCACTGTGTGTGTCAGAACAATATGGAAATCAGTGCAAAGTATATTTCTAAAAAAAAATAGCTGAGCCCTAGCATTCCTTGTCAAAGGGTTGAATAGTTCAATCACAAACTATTCCAAAATATTAACAAGACAAACATGGAAAGCTGCCTTACACCAAATCAATCCACTCACTTGCGTAACCCACTGCTATTTATACTGTTTATCAACACTTTTAGATGGTCTCAAGCTAAGATATTTCCAAACTGTGATAAGACTTTCTGTATAAAAAATAGGTGTTACATCACTGAGCTATGCCTCCCTCCCCCGTACAGGTAGGAAGGAGGAACCTAAAAGAGAAAAGAGAAAATAACTATAAATTTCTCTAGGTTGCCCAATCTGAATTATAAGTTTTTAAATGCCATTGTGTTGAAATCCTCATACATACAGTATATCAGCAGTTCTCTTCTTTTTGGTTAATCACAGAAGTTGCTGGGGATTGTTTCATATCAAAAGACATGAACTCTTTTCACAGTGTATTTATAAGCTTTCATCTGGCTTCACACACACATGCAAGCATATTCATATTCACACAATTGAGAAGTTAGTAGCCTAGGATGGTAGCCAAAGGCTAAAACTGGAGGGGTGAGATGCCATGTTATATTGCTTTGAAAGAATCTAGTAGTATACATGCCATGGAATGTCACAAGATAACTACATGGCACAGACTACAGAAAGAGCAGAATCAGCTGGCAGATGGGGAAAAAACTCTGCTGTATATTGAGCCCAGGGATATGTGTAAGTGACAGAGAGATTGACGAATGAACAGACTGATTGATTGAATTTGAGCAATGAAATACCCACCATGTGTGTGTGTGTGTGTGTTGAAATGAATGTCTTGTATTCCACTCTATTTTATTGTAAAGATATCTGGTTTTCTAACTTATTAATGATATTGCCATTTTTGTTGTGTTATTCTTTGTTTTCCCTTAAAATAAATTTAATGACTTGGTTAATAATTTATGCTAAGCCCTTGCAATTGAAAAATCACAGTTGACTGGGTTTGCACAAGTCAGAACCAAACCAACCATACTATGACTTAACATGATGTACAAACCCAGCCAATAGGTCTGTTTTTCTCAAGGAAAATAGAAGGAAGATAAACTTCCATCTGTGGCATATTTGTTCTATGGACCAGATGGGTCCCACTTTTTCCAATCTTAGCAAATGCATTAAAAATTGAAGAGCCATTCAGAATAATTTCTATTCAGCCCTGCACAGTGTATATATTTTAATTTACTTTGGGATATACTGTACGTTATCATCCAAAGGTAGTAACGGCCAAAACATGCCAGATTCATATACAAAGTTTCCTGTTTCTTCGAACTTTTCAAATGGATGTTAAATATAAAGGAGAGATATTGCTGTGCATAATTAAATCTGCAAGTGGTAGCAGCCTTAATATGGGGCATATACTAACGTGTCCGCATGTACAATATTTGAATGTGAGGTGTCAGAATTGATTTGTTTGGACTGAAAGAATCACATATACACATGTAGACTCCAAGAATAATAACATATAAACCAGTAAATAAAGGCAAATAAAACAGAACTAATAGTACTACATACTGTATAGTCACAGAAATAAAAATATAACTCAGAGAAAACAAATACAAAGGATATTTCTTAGCTACAAGATGCTAATTCCAGTCAGGAAAGCTGTAAGAAGAGGAATGGAACCAAATGGGTGTTGGGGGAAGAGGAGATAAGGCTTTTGGAAAAAGTTGGTATCTTGTTAAGACAGCTTTGGATCTCTGGTGGTCTGGTGCTATTCTACTGCTCTGCTGGTGTTGCTGAGAGGAACTAATGTTTGAAGACTCCCATTCTTCTGTATGGCTCCAGACACTGAAGATCCTTAACTATTTTGGCCATAAGGATAATAGAACTCAGCTCCCTTTTTAACACTACTCTGCTGGTTTTCCTGCATAGGAACAGATATGTGCATGTTCAAGTATAACTCTGTATTTACCAGAATCATGTGTCTGTTTACCTGGGAGTAAATTCCATTCAAAATTGGAGGATTTACTTCTAAGAAAAAATGCACCACATTTTGGAGCAGGTGTACACTCTTATGAGCACTTACGTGTTTGTGAGGCCTGTTGAAATCAGAATCTAACCTCTAAGTAGACTTGTTTAGGAATGCAGGCAGTTGGTTTGCTTCCAGCAAATGGGTTGTAGAGCTATCAGTCAAAACCCAACTATTCCATTCTTTCCCAACATAACACATTTTAATCTACAAAGAAAAATAACAGAAGTAATGGATTCCCAGTAAAATGCTCTGTGAGATAAGACATTTGCACAATAAACCCTATCTGGAAGCATCTTTGGTTGTAGCAAGAATCTCATGTTATATAAAATGCTTTTAGAACAGCATTTTGAGCATTGGTTGCTCTCCCTTTTAAATACAAAAGCTAGCAATTAACTTGACACAATTCTAGCATTAATCAGAATGTATGAGACATTTCTATAACTAAAAAGTTCTAAAAGTTTATATCACAGAGTTTATATCACAGGATGTTATTTTATTTTATTTGTTGCTAATACAGTAACACAGATTCAGTTTGCAGTTCCTGCCTCACAGTTCAGATATCACTAAGAGGATGTAGGCTAGCAATGGCCAACAGGATCAGATTACTTTAAATAGTATAATAGTCATTCTCTCTTCTTGAGACAGCAAGGAATCTCTAATACAGTTCCAAGATTCGCATCAGTGTACAGTTCCCAAACCAAACCAGTTAAACTGGGCTTTGACCAACTTATTGTGACCAGCTTATTGTGTTAGTACGTCCTAGGATGAGAGTACAAGTAATATGCCTGCATGAACTTGAATAAATTTTTCATGCAAATGTGGCTTTCACAAATGATCTTATGACAGTTTTATATAAATTATCATAGAAAGAGTTTATCTTAGGTTCACAACATGGTAAAATATCCTTTAATTTCTTTAATTTTTTCTTTCCTCTTACAGCTTGGTCCTTTCTTTACATTTGCTGTCTTCCCATTTTCTTCTTCCTCCCTTATTCTCGAATCTCTATTCTTCTCTGTTGCAGCAAAACGATATCTATCAAAGTAATTGATGATGAGGAGTATGAGAAAAACAAGACCTTCTACATTGAAATTGGGGAGCCCCGTCTGGTGGAGATGAGTGAAAAGAAAGGTGGGGGATCGGCTATATGGGGCTGAGCCCTACCTGTATGCACCTGTCTTGATCACTCATGGATGCCTGGCACATCCCAGCTCATAGAATGTCAAAACACACATTCCCATTATCTATGTAAAAGGGCAGAGAGCTGAGTCACTGACCAGAAGTGTCATTGCTAGGATATCCTAAATTCCATTTGCTGTCAAATTAAGGCATAGCTTTAGCCAGAGAAGAATCTAATTAAGTTGTCATACTATCTGAATTCTCTGGGACCATCATTATCTAATCTATCTTGTATACTGCTGGAGGTACAACCTGAACAAAACTATTTGCTTTTGACTCAGTGCAGTACAGTGGGAAGAACACTTTGTGAGAGACTCAGATTCAAATCTCTCTTCTGCAGAGTAACCTTTGGCAAGTAACACTAGATCCCTCTTTATGTCTTCATTCAAAGGAGTCCAAACATACATTGAGTGTGGGAGAGACAGGCATGCCTTCAGGTGCTGTAATGAATTCAAATATACCACAGGCAAAGTCTGCCCCTCAGTTTGCTGCACGCAATCACCACATGTATTCATTCTTCACAAAATGAATGCCTGAAAAAAGAGTGTGTGTCTCATGTTAAGTTACTTCATAAGATTGTTGTAATAAAATACATTCATTAGCTCTTGAGGTACAAAGAATAACACTGTAGTAATAGTCAAAAGCAAATCCATTGTCTTTCAGAACAAATCAACAATACCACTCTTGTTTTTCATGCCCATCAAGGCCTAGCAATACAGTTCCAGTGCTAAATGTTTTAGGGTGTTCTTAACCATATTGATCAACCAAGAAAGTTTCCAGAACAGAGGTTTTCTGCTCTCTTACATACATAAAAGACAGGGATGTGTGGGTCAGAGTTTCCCCCATTATCATCACCATCAACCGCCACCTCAACTGGGTCAAATTTAAAGCATGTGTGTGCGTGTGTGTAACGCCAACCATTTGTTTTGCCTTTGTCTTGTGTTCCCACAGGAAATTCATTACCCTTAGAATACTTGACCGTGAGGAATATGAGAAAGAGTGCAGTTTCTTCCTTGTGCTTGAGGAACCAATATGGATACGAAGAAGAATGAAAGGTGTGAGAGTAAACCCAGGCACCTCACAAGAAACTGGGACCATTCCCTGTGTGTGTCTCCCTCCTCTCACAACTTTCTTACTCAGCTTCCACTTAACGTGTCATGACCTCTGTCAAGCTTAGCAGTTTTAATTTTGCATCTCTCTCTTTCTCTCTTTTTAAAAATAATTCTCGATGGTTATTATGACCTGCTTAAACATACCATGTAAATTATTTCTGTAATACATCCTGTGATGTGGATAATGTAAAATCCAAATATTATGACCACTGCAGTTATCTTTCTCAAAGGTCAGATTCTTTAGCCTTCTTTTAACTATTCCCCCAAATTACATCTCATTTGCAAACAGTAGGCTAAAATATCCAGGCATAATGAAAGTTGTACCATTAGCTATATTCACTACAAACTCGTACCTTTATTTCAGGATTGTGCACACCTATACATCTATAAGTCTGTTCCAGTCTCCTCTCAAGGATATTTCTTCACTGAATATTTAGGTTTTGTTCTTTAAAAAATATAAATCTCTCCAAATTTTACTTTTGGAGATACAGAGAATTCAGTTCAATTAAAAATAATACAATTAAATGAATTGCACAACAATTAATTAAGATGTTGCTTTTATTTATTTATTTGAAGCACTCCTAGTCTACATTTCAGCCAGAAAGTCTCCCAGTGAATTTTACAGATCAATAAAAGAGAAATCAGACTAACTGGTTTCATATTGAATATATTTGACTGATTCCAAGGCCCTCCCCACTATATTTTCTGCATAAGTCCTTGAGGTGAATGAATTCTTACCCAAAGAATTTTTGTTGCAGCTCAGTGTTAACAGCCCTGCCAGGATGAGATACAGAACCCAGCTCAAAACAAATTTTGATAGGGAGCCTAGATACAGTTGTGCAGTTTAACAGAAGTTGCATGATAGCCCTTTCAGAACAGGCCATGGTGGAGAGGAGAGTAATGACTGATGTACCAATACATGTATTGATCTTTAGCTTATAATGTCAGATGAATATTGTGTTTTAAATATTTTCTTTGCTTACTGTCTATTCCTTGAGGACTGCAACACACTATAGATTTGATGCACATATCCTGTAAACACTTCACTTAATGTAAATATCTGTAACATATAAGGCAGATGTATGAATTTATTTTCACTCTTTGCCCACATAGCTAAGAACAGAAGCCAACTGAGTTGCCTGCTACTTTAGCTTGAGGATGGATGGATAGATAAATAAATAAATAAATCATTCTATTTGTTGTATTACAACAAAGGCTATGCCACAAGCACACTCCAGTGTATATGCTGATGTGCAACATAAATTGCTTGTCTAATGAAGTTCATTCAAAGAAACCTAAGTAACTGTAGCAGGATCTCTGTGTGGATATACTTCACATGAGTTGTGTGGAACGAAATACTCTGCAGCATAATAAGGTCTAGAGGTAAATAAGCAAAATGCAGTTTAAAAAACAGATAGGACTGATTCCTGAATCAACACGTAATGCTAACAACAAAAAAAGTGCTTACTGCTCCCAAAATACCCCTCAGACATATTTTACGAAACCAATGGCTTCCTTTAAAAAATCAGATTTTAAATGAATAAAAACAAAAGTGATCTTGTTTTGGTTAGAGAAAATAACTATCTGTATGTGATATTCATAATATATCCCAAAGAATTGGACTTGCAATTTCCAGATTAAAAGGAAGCACGAATGCTGAAAATTCAATAGGCTTGCTATACAAAATGGATCTTAAACTGTGAAGTGGATCTCCCTAAAATAGTTTGAAAAGCTGCCAGGAGATCTCTGGAGCAGAAGGAGTCGGCTCTGCCTTACTCACCAGGCAGCATGATATTTGAAAGAATTAAAGGCTAGAAGACCTAATCCATCTTTCTTCTTTAAAAGCTTCTTTACTTGTCACATTACAATTCCAAACAGAGTCACACTTGATTAAGAAAATACCTATGTTTTATAAATTGAGGATGCTCACACATATATGTTTCACCCTAGAAACTCCTCCTTTCTTCCAACTGCAAATACAGAATCATTGATATCAAACCTGGTTGGATGATTATTTTTCTTTCAAATAATTGCAATCATTTTGAAAGAGGAATCCATGCTTTGAATAAGTATATTCATCCAACTTTTGCCTCTGCTCAAATAGGTTCTACATATTAGTTCAAATATTTGCTAAATCTATTGACCAGAGGCAAAACTAAAATAAATGGTTATGTGTTAGTCTTTCCCCAGCTGGCCTCCAGATATGATGGGCTGCAACACTCTCATTCCCAACCTTCCAGGTATTTAACCATGGTGGTTGCAAATGATAGGTGCATTAGTACATCATATCTGGAGGGTAGTACATTGAGGCTGGTGTAACCATTGGAAAGAAATCCTCTGTCAAATTCATTTCAACTGCCTTAAAAGCTATAATTTGTCTCCAGTTGTAGAAATACATCACATTTTCATACACAAGTGAGTATATTTGAAAAACTGGAATGATTATAGGTGCTAAGAGTCAATAGTGCAGTTTATTTTGAAATGTTTGCCTCTCATCCAGAGATGGTTTCAGGCATATTAGGGAATATATTTTCAACTCTTTTCTCTAACCAAAGCACAAAACAAGAGCAAGCATTGTCAGTCAAAATGATTATGCTTGTTTTATTTCACATGCTCACTCCATTCCCAATGCATCCCTCCAACTGAGGCTGTGGTCTTAGGCAGAAGCCTCTACATTCTTTACTAGGGCTACCAGATCTGGGCTTTAAAAATCCAGAAGACCATTAAATGGCAGCAAATCAGTGTAGAGAAGCTCTCTGCTTTCACTTAATGGTTATCTGGATTTTTGCAACCCCCATATGGTAGCCCTGTTCATTACAACAGAAGTCTTCCCCTTGTTCAGATGCAAGATGCCCCCTTGTGCCTAGAAATGATAAAGGCACATATAGAGACATTCTTTTAGCATTATAATTCTAGGCATAGGAATGACTTGATCAAGCTTTATTTTTTTTGTAAGGCAAACAATAAAGCAAATGCTCACAGATATCCATTGTGACATATTATTTCCTCAATCTCTGGCAGAGCTGTCAATGAAGCAAAATTAAGATCCTTGCATATATCCAAGAATATGACCTAAATGTTGGGAACATGGAATGAATTATAAAAGATTTGTCTATTATACCAAACGTAACAGCACATTTAATATTTTTCCACAATTTCACAGCTTATTCCCATGAAACGTGTCTCTTTTCCATTATTTCTCATGCTATTTTTCTTTGTAGTAATGGTATCCTGCAGCTTTGCAGATCTGCGCTTTCTGGCCTCCTGGATCTGAGGCTTTTCTGTGGATGTCCTCTTTACTTTCATTGCTCATTGTTTTCTTCTGTGTTTGTCCTTCTGTGTCTTCTCCACAGCCCTGTTGTTGAATGAGCTTGGTAAGCACTGCATTTCTTGCATTTCTTTTCCATATGGGGGAGTCAATGTATTTTATATAAATTATTTTTTTCAATTTCTTTCATGCTTTGTTTTTCTCAAAGATTCAAGGAGGCTCTCCCCTTAAAGATTATTAAAAACCATTTATGTCAGTTATTGATATCAATTTTTTACTTAAATTCATTCTCAATATTTATGGCTTGAAAATGGTCCTTTGGATTCAGTGTACCTTTGACTGAAATCAAGGTAGGAAAGATCTGATAAAAAAGTATAAGATATTACATGATAATTGATCACAAGTTCTTATTCAAAGAGCTTGTTGGCAGAAGCATAGATTAATCAGGCCAAGATTCACATTGTATTCAATCTTTCTTTTGGTACATCAATTAACAGCAGATATCTCTTTTTATTTATCTTCTGTTTTGCAGCATGACATAATAGGTCCCGTTTTAAGCATACCCTTTAAATTGGCTATCGCCAATTGGCTAGTGTCAAAAAATATTTTGGACTACAATTCCCATGATTCTGAACCAGCTATCCTTGTTTATCCTTGGCTGAGTTGCATTCCTTGATGGCACTAGAGGGCTGCTTTAAGTGATAAGAGCCATCTATTTTCCCATGTCTTTTGAAAGAAAAGACATTTCTGCATGTCTTTGGGACCTGCTACAGAAATAGCTCAAATGGAAATTACTTTTTTATGATCAGACATTTATTTGTTTTGGTAAATGAAAATGTGAGAAATTCTAATCTCTTTGGGAAAATATACTTGCGACTGGGCCTGAAGCAGTTTCCCTTTCTAAATTCTACTTTTCTGAAACAATTTGGTCTCTCTGAGACAATCTCATACACACATTTATCATGAAGTGTAATGTGTTCCTATATTCAGCCAAAATAAATAGAAATTGACAAGAGCAGCTCTCATCCATCCCAGTGACATTCACATAGGATGGATTTCCATGCAACTCTGCCCTTCTTTATAAATAAGCTTTCAGCACATTGAGACAAAGGATAAACCAAAATTTCATTTGGAAACCTAAGCTCATTCAATAAGTACAACTTCCTTATACCAGCCTTTTCCAAGCTGCCAACCTTCAGTTATATCAAATCAATATCCATAAATCTATTTTGGCTGGACTTTAACAGGAGTTAAGTCCAATACAAATGGACAGGTACGGTTGGGAAAGGCAGTCTTACAACCCTAGCATAGTTGGGATATTTCCCTGAGTTTATGTATCACTGGCCCGTTCTTTTACTGTATTAGAACCAGATCACGTATTCATTCTCTTGAGAGAGAACAACAGAAGTAGGCCTCAAACATACATATCCCTCCCAGAAGGAGCTGTTTCATACAGTTGAATGGACATCATGACAACAGAATGTGAAGGAATCTAGAAAGTTTGGCATAATGCTTTAGGGAAAATGGAATATGTAACAGATGGTATATTATCCACTAAATGCCTTTGTCTATTTATGCATACATAAAGAAAGTAAAGGCTGAAATAGGCATATTTTGATTGAGACAGTTTTTATAAAATAAATGTTGACATCAGATCATGCGGCAGCTTTTAGGCATATTGTATTTTTTAGCCCTGCTGTTTGAGGTCCTTTTTATTCTGAGATCTCAGTACAGGTTTCTGCACCCAACATCCTCTAGGTGTACTGGATTGTAGCCATCACCTCCAGCCAGAACACTGGCTGCAGGAGATGTGTACTGATATCCAGCACATTCAGAGGGTACCAGAGTGATCTAGGAATTGAATCTGGGGTCTTTTGCATGGAAAAATATGTATTTCCTGCTTATACAATGCTTACTCCATGAACTTTTAAAACAACCAAAAAGTTTTTAAAAAGAAACATTTTCCAAATACGATATATTTTTGTTTCAAATTTGATTATTATAGTCTTAACACATTTGAAGAGAAACAAGTTAGAGAAGATTATTCTCTAATTTCTAATCTTGCCTTTAACTAAATGTTTCAGCCAACTGTGGTTGGCAGGGGTGTGATTTTCTACTTTTTACTTGATGTTTGTATTTGGGAAATATAGATAATCTTTTTTTAATTTGACAAGCCATACATATACACACAAATACACTCTGACCATATTCCTATTAGGAAATATATAATTCATATTTAGAGCAAAGCTTCAATGATGTAAGTAATGCACAGTGCAACAAAACATTAATTCCCTTTCTTTTTCTCTCTGTTTTGGCATTCCTTTAGGTGGCTTCACAATTACAGGTATGGATTTTCAATTATCTTTCTGCTCAAATATACAATTCCAGTTTTATATATCTGATTTTTTTTTTTACTACTGCATCTAGCTATCAGTTATTTGCTAGCAATATGTATTGCCCCCAAGTGTGATGGTCAAGATGTTGGGCTTCAACCAAAGAGACCTAAATTTAAGCCCACTTTCAACTATGAAAGCTCACAGGGTGACTTTGTGCTAGCCCTAACTTCCTCACAGTATTGCTGGGGGGTGGGGGGAAAGGTTGAGGGAATACTATGTATAGGTAGTCCTTGCTTACCGACTGCCTCATGCAGCAACCATTCGAAGTTACGACAGTGCTCAAAAAATAACTTCGTGATCAATCCTTGCATTTACAACCATCGCAGCATCCCGCAGTCATGTGATCGTCATTCGTGTACTTCGCAACTGGCATGCATTTTTGCTTTCAACAAGCAGAGTTAATATGGAAGGCAGAAGTAAAATCGTAAGTCGCGGTCACATTTTTCACTTAGCGACCGTGTCACTTCACTTAACAACTGAAGGGAAAGTAAGATCATGAGTCCACTTGTGGTCACATGATTTTCTGGTTAGCAGTTAGTTATCAAAGATGAGAGAAGTCTGTTGCCCCAGTGCCTTATCTGTAGGCTTTGGATGGGCTTCTGGTTGGCCACTGTGTATAAAAAACAGGATGGTGAACAAGATGGCCTTTTAGTCTGATCCAGCTGGAACTCTGTTTTGATATTAAGAAAGCTAGTTTTATCTCAAGCCTTTCAAAGTTTAATATATAGCGAGACTTCCAAAAGTGTTGCAGTTCATCTCCTTGAGGGCCAAGTGCAAAGTTTCACAGTTAATCAAAGATTTATTCCACCATCACCCCTCACAAAAAGTTAAAAGATATACTTTGTAACATCAGACAGACTTATCTACAACATAGGAAGGAAACTGAGCCAGCCCACCAAGTACTTCTCTTGCAAGAGTCCTATTAAAATGTATGAGGATTTGTCGTTTGTTTCCCTGGGGGAAATGATAAAGCAGTTTCCTTAATCATAAAGCAGTTCCCATAATCATTATTACTTTTTGTGTTTTGAACTAAAAATGTTATAATATTCTGCCTTTCAATCTATTTAGATTTAAAATATTTTGAGCTTTTATTTTGGATAGAGGGAAGAATGTATAGCTGACTGTAGGGTTGGAGTGGATCTTGAATACCTGACTTCAGAAGCATCACGTGTCCTTTCTCAAAACACCCAAGCTAATTTGACAACACAAATGACCCCATATATATTAGGGAAGGTAGTATTTTTAAGAATGTAAGGCACCTTGAGGTATGTTTCTTGAATTTGCAGAGTATCGTTACATGCCTTGGCATCTCAACCCTGGAAAAGAACCAAAGAGCCTTTATAGATCAGGAATATACCGCCATCATATTAAAGCAATAGTGAATGTAGATTGAACCAACAGATGTATTGGAAGAAGTTGGTACTGTACACTATGTTTGTTAACATCTTGGCTTGTTCTTGTCATTGCTTTTATAATGAAGGGAAATGTTTGAATGGTAAGACATCTTGATTTCTTTCATATCCACATTCTAAGTAACTAGCACTTTTTGATTATGAAGTTCATTCTCACAAACCTAACATCACATGTTTCATGCTAATAAGCTTATACTTTTTTTAAAACCCACAATTATTTTCTGAAAATTACTTGAAGGCATAACTTGAAAAACTAAATGTTGATGTGCTTTAAGATACTTCCAATCTGTTGACAACATGGCTGCAAGCATAATGACCAGCAAAATACGTTGATGACTGAAGTTGTTAAGATATCTTCAAGGAGCTTGATACCAAATTATCTTCAGCTGTATTTTTCACTGCATTCTGTTTTGAACAAAATTTATGCAACGTTAAAACATTTAGTCATCCAGATTTCTTTTCCCAATGTTTTAAGTAAATAAAATGAAAATACTACTATTCTGCTCCAACTTGTACCCATCACAGCTGTGAGAGAATTTAAATGCAAGACACGGAAAGGAACCATCTGGGACTTCCTATGTTCCAGTAGACAGAGAACACATACAGACCATTGAGTGGCCTTAGCTTGCAACCCCTTGCTTGTCCTACAAGGTTGTTGTGCAGATGAAGCAGGAAGAAAAAGCCTAGATAAACCTTGAAAAGGATGAGATAAAAATATGAATAGATATTTAAACAGCAATATCAGCTAATGCCTGGAATAAATTCTCATTCACCTTATATATGGACTGCTATTGATAAAGCACTTAATTCTAATTGGGGTAAATGATAACTCACTATTGAGATCTATAAGGAGTCATCTGCATGCATGCTCAGGGTCTCCATACTCAGCTAGACTGAGTTCTGAATTAATGATAAGTTTTCTATAGAAGTGTTGCTGATGCACCTAATTGCAATGCAGAGAAAATATGCAAATATAGCAGAAAAAATAATCAAATATCTTCTTTGTCTTTCAAAATCCTTCCCTTGGGACTGAGGAGAGGGGAAGAAAGTTTGCAATATCCAGTAACAGTTGTATTTGTCCCAAATATATTGTTAGTACAACTGTTGACATGAAACACACAAATGTTGTCATGCAAAATCTTTCTACCAAATGATAATCTAAAACAAATTCTTATCCATGCAGGGAAGAATGTCAGAAATATTAAGGCATACATATCTTGGTTTGGAAATATCAAACCTAATGTAAGTTGAACACATATCCTCTCAAAGTGTGATGCAACTCTTAAACCAGTTTGGCTTCTTGTTGAGCTTCTGTCACCAGCTTTCCCAGAATTTAATTCCCAGCACTACTCAAAGTGAAATTCTTCTGCTGATTCTGATTCTTCAGCAGAATTTTTACAAAGCAGTTTTTCCCTTATCATTTAAGGAGCCTTCCTTCCACATCATTGTAATTGTACCTTTGTTGGTCAGTAAGGGCACTTTTTTACAACTGCTGAAACACTTGCAAGACAGAAGGCTTCTTTGCATTCATACCAAGCCCTAAAAGTTTCTGCTTAGCAACACAGGCACTCATCCATGAGTGGGTGTAGTGAAAGAGCTATGTGTAAAGACAAGAATCAGGTTTTATCCATCTGAAGAACAAAGTATTTAATAAAGTAAAATCAAATCATGACTTTGTTCTCTGATTCCTCAAAAGAGAAAGAAGAAGCCAGAATGCCATGTTAATATGTTATACTAGATTTGGCTAACAAATCATGAATTGGAGTTGGAAACTGATTTTCATTGGGAGATTACTAATCAGAAGGTGACCATTGAAGCACTGAAAAAGACTAGTTCCTCATTCTCTTCGTTTGTGAAAATGTAAGAAGGCAAAAAAATGTGTAACCTGCAGTCTTCTGTATGGTGTGCAGTTCCAGTTCCCATTATCCCTGATCAGTGGCCATGCTGGTTGTCACAGATGGAAGTTTGAGTTCCATAGCATGAGTTATTTCACAGATTTTCCAGAAGGTCTGTAGTGGGCATTTATAGTAGTCATAAACCTGAGTGAAGTAGAAATTACAGTTCACTATCAGATTTCTCACTTCTAACCAACTCTAACTACACAAAGCATTAAATCCACTACTGAAACCCAGTTCAGCCCATTGACATTAACTGTTTTTGCCATTTTGTTAGGCAAGCCTGTCTTCAGGAAGGTTCATGCTAGAGACCATCCCCTTCCTTCTACTGTAATCAACATTCAAGGTATTCTGGTTTGCTAGGCTCCCATCCAACAGATAATGTGAAACCAATAACTCTGGAATTTATATTCATTGAAGTGGGATACAGGAAAGGTGGGATTTATTTTAATGTGTCTCAGTAAAATTGCTCAATGGTTCCCCACCAATTATATCCCATTTCAGAGGCAAAAATAGAGCCTCTTTCTCTCAGACTTTCTTTGCACATTGTTCTATCCTAGGTGATCTTCCAGTCTGGATACAAGGTGTGAAACATGAAATACTTCTTTCTTATACTAGTTATTATCAGGCCTTAGAGCAGCCTTATCCAAAGGATTTTGCTCCCTTGGTCAGTCTGCCCCTTTGCTCACCCATAGATGCTGCTACTCTGAAACTATCTAGCCAGGTGAACAGGTGGCCACCATCTAAATCTTCCATAATGCCCCAGTTTAATAGAATCAAGGATTCTCCTTCTATACCATCCTTCTCGGTTACCAGGGCTTCTTGCCCATTTTGAAATTATTCTTTACCTCCATGTAAGATTAAACTTAGCAATGGAGGGGTGTGCTTCTGTTCTCCTCAGTAGTTTATCATTGCTGATGATAGACACAAAACCTTTTGATATTCTACAGCTTCATCTATGTTGGGTCCCTCTGCCAAGCTCTGTCCTGTGCAAAAATCAGTCCTGACCATTCAGTCTCATGGAGCCTCTTTCTTATTGTCTCTCACTAGAACATCTGGTGCACTCACTTCCAGCAAAACAAAAATCAGATTGTTTCCACCCATCCTCCCCTCCACTGGCATTGTCTTGGATACATTCAAATTAACAAATTACTTCTCATTGTTTTTAAGCACCAATCAAGTAGCATTAGCACCTTCCAAATTTGCTTTTTATCACAAAACAAAAGGGAAATGAGAGGGGGGAGGAAAATAAAATTCAAGAGGTTCGTTTAAAAGAAAGAATTAAATTCCTTCCTAGCAAGAGGAACTGTGCATTCACAGATATGAATAGGGTTGCCAGATGTCCCTTTCTAAAAGTGTTGAAAGGAAGGGGGCTCCTTTATTAGAGTTCTTTATGCCAAATCATCAGAGAGCCAGAAATATAAGAGATGCTCCTTAGAGCCCTAATGTAGCATTATTTCCCAACCAAAGTAATAATAAAAATCTCTGCCTGTTGATACTTAGATATGGCAATAAGGGGCTTTCTTAAAACACAGGAGCCCCAAACATGTGTTATTATAATACTTTGTATATTAAATAAACTAGCCTTGAATAGGGTATATTAACCAAAGGGTGAAAACAGATTGCCAGTTACCAATGTTTTACTGATTGAAAATGCCCCACATTTCAGTTTAACTCTGTATGAAGTCAATCAGATGCTGACATTCAGCTGGCCACATGTATAGAACATATAGGCAATCAAATTCCACAGAAAATAGTAAAAGCAAATGTGATTTTATTGATCCCATCTTTATGTGATGGGATTCCCATTCCCTCAAAATAATCTTGACCACAGGGCTAACCTGCCCAAGGTCACGTCACGTTCCTATCCCTATTTATACCTGCCCATCTCTGATAAATCTATGACTGAGTTAATGGTTGTGTGATCTTTATGGTCATTGGATGGCTCTGTCTCATGTAACCCAATTCTACCCATATGCTGTCTTTGATCTGTTAAGTTGTGGAATCCTCAGGTGATCCTTTTAAGAGACAGACAGATATTATGTGCTTTCAACTTGCCAAAAAGGCAGGATGGAGTGGGGGGAGCACTAAGTAAAATTTATAAACTTTAATTGTGCTTCTTCCAATTATTAGCTCTGCTCAAGCATTAAACTTCAGTTATTACATGGAGGACTTCAAACTGGCTAAAGAATGGAGCCATGCATGTAACTTTGCCCCTTTCTCTCCCAGACCTTTGCATATTCAGTTGGATGCCTAACTGGAGGTATACTTCTCTGCATGATTAAAGACCCTATTAAAGCAAGATGCCAGATCATACAGAGAGTTGGACCAGCATTCAAGCAAACAAGAATATTGCTCCCCTTCAGACCTCCAACTGATTGGAGAGAAAAGGGGGTAGACTAGTGTGTATGCCCTGTTCAACATCCAGTCTGAGCCTTCTGCATGTTTGTTTAACAATATGTATATATCACCACAATCATAAATGTATTATGGATTCCCCACTTCTTTAAACAATGAAAAATTCCACTGGTTTCAACACTTCCTCGCATTTTTGTAGCAATTTCATTAATGTATAAATAAACAGGTTGAGCATATACTGTATGACGATTCACAGGATTAATGTCCCAACAGATACCACCATCACTGGTTTCTTAGGAGACACAACCCCATCTACTATTAAGGCAGAGAATAATTCAGATATCTGTATGTCTCTTTAAGTGATGGGTGGAAACCTGAAGCCCCAGGGCCACCTGCAACCCCTAGAACTTTAATACACCATTGATTTTTGTCAATACAATCACCAGAAATTAACAATATAGTTTGCTACCATTATGAAGTGAGAAATATAGGAAAACTGTACTGTAAAGTTAAAATAAGTTTTAACTGTTTTTTTTAAATCAAAGGAATAATGGAAACCATGGAAAATCTTGGTCCTGCTATGTATCATCATCTCATCCACTGTATTCTTCATCTCAGCCCTCCCGGAAATAATTAAATATTTACATGTGGCTTTTAGCCACCCAAAATTGGCCTGCTCCTTTTCTAAATGCTTCCCTAGAAACCACAAGCTTGTTTTCCAGTTTAAACACAGACAAGGTTCACTTCATCCTCTCACACTGCCTGGGGGATGGGGGATGGTGTTGGTTAGAATAACAATGAGCCCTCTCCACCTACTACTTAGACGTTCTTGCTGAAATATAATACCTGAATATAAGGAACTTTCAATCTTTCTGTCAGGTCTCAAGGCAATGCCTTAGGCCATGCACACTGATAGCTATACCCACAGAAATTTTTTAAAAAGGACAGAATTGAAACAGATCCTAGAAGGTCATCCAGCTTTAGTGGAAAGTGTAAATGTATGCCTGTGGTTTTAGTTACAAACATATGAAACATCTTTACATGACTGCAGTGTAAGGTGAGAGGTGGGGCCAGCCCAGGAGACACAATTTTATTTTACGAAGCCCTTCCTTCCTAGCCTTTTTCTTCCAGCCAAGATGTGTTAGGATAGCAGAGCCCAGTTGATGATAAAAATAACATGAAGAGGAATGGATTACAGAGAGGAAAGCCATGGGCAAAAAAGAAGGATGGGAGGCCTTCCCCATATGTCACAGCAACATGCTCATTAGGACACAGACATACCTACAATAATAGTTTGAGGTACAACTGAGACTGATTCAGGTTAACAGGAACACAGTATATGTTGTGTCCAGCCTGACCAGGAATATTAAACTCAAATGTGATGATGTTGTGTTGAGCCTAATATCCTCTGTGTCTGTCTTCACATAATCAAGGAAGCAAGCCTAAAGGTGTACTATAGATTGTCCTTTTTGTATACAAACCTAAATGTGTGTGTTTTAGGGAGAGGGCAGGGTTCCTTCCTATATTTGGGCAGAAATCTGGATGATCAGTAGATGGCAATAAAGACGTGCTAAAAACTGTAATTCTTTGCTGCCTTCTAGTAGTTATTTGGAGTTTTGCCATCCAGAACTGATAGCCCTAATGTGGTAATTTGTCCAGAAATTTACAAAGTTTTAGCCCTAACTTTTCTGGAGATTGAACAGCCTTTCATCAACAAGGAGTCTCCTGTTACTTTCTGTTTTTAAAAATAAGAAACACTTGTACTAAGAAACAACTAAGTTATTACTAAGAACTGTTCATCCAGGAATTGCTGCTAAATGATGGCAATTGTCAGTCAGTCTTAATAGGGGAAAAATGGCTCTGTGAACCTGGAATCACATAAATTGATATTGACCAAAGGTATTTCTTTATATTTCTCTTGTGGATGTGTTATATGCGTTTGCCTGAACATTGGACCATCAATCCATCAGTTTATTTTAGCTGTCTAAAGTTCTTTGCTCATAGAAATCACTTTGCAATTTCGAAGATGCCACTTAGCTATATAAAAGTTCCTAACTATTCTGTGGTGCCCAGAGAAACGGTATAGCTATTGCTGTCACTGCATTCATCACCATTCCCTTTTTCTGCTATTCTGTTCCTCTTGTTTCTTATTTTGTATATTTTGTTCAATTTTTTTAAAAAAAGGACTTGTTAGGGATGTGTGGTTGACTGCAGCACACAAACTGGGCTTACCACGGAATCTATACTCAATTGGAAGCCATAGTTCATTTCTTCACTCAGACAGATACTCATACAGCAGGCAAACTTGTTACCAGCATCTGTTACAATCATACATTTCATATTTAGACATACTCTAAAGTGTGTGTAGATCTATTTTAAAAAACCACATTGGGCAGTGTATGACATGGACCTGAGAATCCATAAATTGATGTTTCCTTTCTATTTCCTAATTGCAAAGACCCATCTGTTAAATTGTGGCTCCCTTAAAAAGCACAAGTGAGGAAAGGAAATGCTTCTTTGAAATGCAGAGGAGGTCTGAGCCATGATATCATTTCCTGAAGCTTCCCGGTAAACGATCTGGAGGAACAAACGCCAATCCTTAAAATGCAGGAAGTTGCCCTAACCTGGCTGTGTTTTCCCTGTAACAGTTGTCTGCCTGCTTTTGCCACATTAATGGAGTATGTTTGAGGATAAAACATTTCTGGCTGCAGAAAAGGGCTTACCATCCCTCAACTGGTTCTTTTTTGTCTCCTCCACCCCCAGAAGAGAACGAAGAGAAGCAGCCTCTGACAAGCAAAGAGGAGGAAGAACGCCGCATTGCTGAAATGGGGCGCCCCATCCTGGGAGAGCACACAAAGCTAGAAGTTATTATTGAAGAGTCCTACGAGTTCAAGGTGTAGTATGTAGACATCTCAAGTCTATTACCATTAATTTAATTTAATTTATTGGATTCAGGCTCCGCCTGACTCCAAGCAACTATTAATATATTACAGCTCTACTCCACATCAGTCCTGTGTAAAATGTGGTAACCTAGGATTACGCTTTTTTAGAACCCTTTCTCATCCCCTTAAAATGAGAAATCTGTGCCTGTGTAATTAGAATTTTCTTCTTCTAAGAAAAGGCAGATTGTGCAATCTGTACAAATTATGGAGTTGACGTAATTTGGCTAATTTAATGTTTTTATTGTTTCCATCCTTTTTCAACTTCTGTTTTAAGGAAGGGCACCTTGTAGGAAATTTTAAGGAAGGGCATCTTGTAGGAAATTTAATTTCACTAAACCTTGCCAACTGACTTTTAAGAAGTAGATTTTTAAAACGTATTGTTATTTTAAAGCTGTCAAATATTCACAAGAAGCTGAACTGTGCAGTCACAGCCATATTCTTTTCTCTATTTCTTTTTTTCTCTCTCCTTCCCTCCTTCTCCTGGTGGGATTTCCAAAAGCATTAATAAATCTGCTTAGATACTTCAAGCACACATCTCGAGAGCATCCAGCTTTTTCCTGCCACCCTCAGACTGTAGAAATGAGTTCAGATAAGAAAATTATAAGCACCATATTATTTGCATCACTAACAATTATAGAATATTTACATTTAAATACAATTTTCTTTTTCATTTGGATCCCTTGAGGATAATTGTAAGTTAGATATTAAAACTTTACACCATTCTGTATTCAGTAGATAGAATTTCATTATACAGGAATCATTAAAACCATTGATACAGGCAATCCTTTTTAAGTTCTTTTTTTTTTCCCTGCAGCTTGCCCAAAATATTCTCTGCATCTCTTGTCAGCTCCCTTAGAAAATAATTTTGAATGGCTGCAGGCAGCCTGACTGAACTTTAATTGTGGTGCATCTCAAATCAATAATTTGTAAAGAAAATGAACTATGAATGATACTGTATGTATTCATATTAAATTTTCTAATATTAGGTGCATTTTATTATACATATAGAGGATCAATAAAAGTTGTAGACTGTCTAGTTTAGCTGTAGTAAAGCAAATACATCAGTAAAAAGCAGCTTTCTGAAGTATTGATACATTTTCAGAGATACATCAATCTATCAAAAGTTTCTACACAGCACCTTTGCAACTATTTTTATTAGTTGCTCTTTTTTGATCCCCAGTTGAATCACTGGCCTTACCAATTCAGGGAACCAAATAGGAGATGATCTGAAGGATCCTAGAGAATCTCTGCCAGTCAAGTAGTGAATCATACTGGGCTAGGTGAACCAATGCTCTGGCCTCATATAAAATGACCTTTTCTCCCTACGCGTAGTAAAATGATCTGAATGAGCTCCAGAGTTTTCAGTGCAAAAGAAACCTTTAAAAAAAACTAGGTAAGAAGTAATATAGTAGCACAGATTTGTATTTAACCATTTGTCCAGTCACCATAAACAACCAGGAACTCCAGGATGGCAGGTTCATGGAACATCATGCAGGCAAGTGGATATTCTCCTGTGGGAGGAATGGATCATTCAGCCTTTCTTGGCTAGCCTGTTTCTTCGCATGGTAGCCACAGCAAATTCAACTCTTCCTAAGAACCAGCCCTACAAATGTAGCAGATTGGCAGAGGGTGAATAGATCATTCTGCCTTTCCCACAGCAGTCTGTTTGCCAGAAGGTTGCTATTGTAATAGCAACTATTAAGAATGTCCAAAGAGGACTTCCTTTTCTCCACATCAAAAATAGATGGATTAATACTTTAATAAGCTATGAAAATGTGCAAACCAATCTTTTTTATAGGCCTAATTACAAGGCACCATTAAGTAATACTTTGCACAAGCATTTCAAGCCTTTTTAAAGCAAGATACGGTGGTACCTCAATTCACGAACTTAATTCGTTCCATGATTCTGGTCGCGAGCCAAATTGGTCACGAACCGAATCAAATTTCCCCATAAGGTTCAATGTAAATAAGGTTAATCCATTCTGACCCCTATGAACGTGGTCGCCAACTGAATTG